AAAAAAAAAATATATATATATATATATATACATATATACATATATATACACATATATACATATATATATATATATATATATATATATATAAAATAAATCATCTTTAAAGCAAAACAAAATAAATATTACATTTTACCTACCATTTGTAATACAAAATCCATATAATAACATCAACAAGGTCATCAGAATTCCACAGAATTTTAAAGACTCCATATTCTATGTATTCTCCGTGAAGCTGGTAGCTCCCCGTTACTACTTACTTAACCAAATAATTTCATAGATTTAACACATTTTTACCGCAGCTTTTAAAGAATTCGTTGTTTTGTTGTTGCATTAATATATTTCCATACGCCTAATTATTATACTTTCTTTAGAGCCACACCTCGTTTTCTTTTTGCCAAACCTTTATTTTTTAAAAATTATTACATTTCTCAATTTTTCTAGAGTTTCAGTATGACTTTTACCTTTTCCATTAATATCTTATTAAAATTTCATTAATAAATTGCTTCAATAAATATTTTTTTTTGGTATTTTAAATATTTTAAATTTACTTTTCTCGAAAATTTTCCGTGCTCTCATATGAAAAACTAAAAAAGATCTGATGCGTTTATGAAGGATTCTGGATAAAAATCAATTTTTCTTAGTTTATGATGCTTACCATATAATTCGCATTCTTCGCATTCTCATCTTGTCTTATTGCGTTATGCGCAAGCTAAAAAATATAAGCAATAGATTATTTCTCGCTCTCTATGAACGCTAATGTAAACATAAACAAACAATAAACATATGATAAGTAAACAATTTCATCTATTTTTGATTGTATTTTGTTATCCGTTTCTCTAAACAGCTGAGTTTGTTTACAATTTTTTATGCCGGCCTTTCTATCTAACTATCTCTTTCTATATATCTATCTATCTATTTTGTCTATCTCTCTCTCTCTCCCTCTCTCTCTCTCTCTCTCTCTCTCTCTCTCTTTCTCCTTCTTTCTTTCTCTCTTTCTTTCTATTTCTCTCTATCACTCTCTCTCTCTCTCTCTCTCTCTCTCTCTCTCTCTCTCTCTCTCTC